CAAGCTAATGGTCCCAAAGCTTCAGAGAGAAGTAGGCCATTGTCCCCAGCAGCAGGGAGCAGGCCCAGCCCTGCTGTGGGATGAGACAGCAGTCTGGCAGCAAGTGTCTGACTTCTCCCCACACATACACACATCAATTGTGTAAAGCGCATTTGAACATCGTTTCTCTGGGATGTGTTCTTGATGTGCACTTAACCTTTATATAAAATGCTCTCTTATACATAAGAGTTTCTGTGGATTTGTTTCCCTAGTTTACCCAGACTAACACAATTCAGTACTGATTGAATCCTATCGATTGATTGCCTTCACTCTGCCCGGCCCTGGTGGAATTCCGTAGGTGAGAATGACCGGCTGTTCGATGGAAACGCTTACCATCCTGTGCTCCCTGAGCTCTGTAATGATCTGTCAGGGACGGTCCACTTGGGTCTAGTTCTGCCCTCTCTTTTCTGCCCCCGTGATCCATTTGCCAACATCCTCCTGCCAGTCCTCCCTGTAGCAGCGTGTGGCTAGGTGCCACCCTGTCGGCCACAATCCCTATCTTGACCTGCGAGCATGGATCATTTGGTTCTAGTTTTTTGGCAGCGTAAAAGGTATCTGAAGGCACAGCCACCAGATGTTAACTCAAAGGCAAACACGTCATGAACGAGATGTCTCTGGCAGGGCTTGCCCATGTTGCAAATTTCTTGCGGGTGGTGGGAGGGGGCGGGGAGTGGTCACAGGTTTAAGGAGCTCAGCTGTTGCTTCAGCAGCACCTGGCTCTTCCAGGGCCTTCCTTTTCCATGTCACCTTTCTGACCCGTTTGCTCACATGGACAACATGAATGGCTAGGACCCGGATGGAGATGGCATCGAATCTACAGTTCCTGCTGGGTGAAAGTCTTCCTATCCAGGAACATGGGCTCTCCACTTACTTAGACCTTCGTTGATGTCTTCCATCCGAGTCTGGTAGTTTGCCCTCAGATAGACCTTGTGCATGGTTTCTTAGCATGATCCCCAAGTATTTACTTATTTAAGGAACCTGGTGGCACAGTGGGTTAAGCATAGGGCGACTGGCCTAGTGGTCCTTCATTTGTACCCACCAGCCACTCTGTGGGAGAGAGGTGTGGCAGCCTGCTTCTGTGACAGTGGACACCCCCAGAAACCTGTGTTCGTCTGGGTAGACTAGAGAAACACTCATAGATACTCGTATATAAGAAAGAGCTTTATATACAGGAGTAGGTGAATATTGAGAAAATATCCCAGCCCAGTCCAGGACAAGTCCATAACTCTGATATTGGTTTATGTCCAACTGGTATAGTATTGGTATGTGTCCAGTAGCAATCTATATATTCCTCTTGAGACGCAAACAATACATGCAATGGCGCCCAATGCAGGACTATCACAGGCCAGTGGGTGGAAAGTCTTGTGGATCCAGTGGCAGCAGAAGCATCT